CACTAATCCGCTAAGTCACAAAGGGATAAATCTCACAAAGCCAAATTCCGCCATAGTGATGAATATGTGATAAAGAGAAAGGTGGAGTTGTCTCCATGGAAGGGGGACACCAGCCACAGCCATGGCCTCTGATACAACAAGATGTGATGGCCCTTCTTGTCGTACACGCACTCGTACACGCATCGTAAGAGGGTGGTCCTACTTGTTGTTGCCCGTCGGGTACCACACCACCATACATGGGCGACCATCAAGAAACCGTTGGCCGTTACTTGATGGATTTTTATCGCTATAAAGTAGCCATCCCATCCAATTATAGGGTTGCAACTGTTACCAGCCTTACACTAATCGTATCGAGTTGCGTTGACTCTTTGTTCATTTCAGGGAGCTAGTGAAATAGGATATGTTAAGACCTGTAGCCTTTTACCCATTGCTAAAGGTTAAATAAGATATTGAATCTAGCCCTTTGTCCATCATTGAGAGCCACAAGAGTTGGTAGTGAATATCGTTGCAGGAGACATGACTGTAAAAAAACGTCCAACCATGTTGTGGAAATAGATCTAGTCATGTCTTGCTATGTATATAAAAATGGTTGTTGGAGTGGGTTGCGTTTTGCAATGTTTCCAGCAAAGTAGATGAATGCCGTTTCCAGTCATACTAACTATATTGCAGTACTCAGCAAGAAACAAGAATAACATGTTTAATGTGAAAAGTAAGTTGTGTGGGCTTTCGCTAATGTGGATCCGTACATGTCATCAATTTTAAGGCCATACAAATCCATCCCTCAACAAATATAAAGAACTAAGACTTCTTATGTGCAATCTCAATCACATTATAAGTTATATATAATGTAAATTTCATTTAATTAAATCCCATTGGATAATTAGAATTAGAAGTCATGGTTTTCAATTTTATGATATTTTGATTACAAGTTTGTCATTAGGGTGTTTTGGCTATAAATAACTTTTTTGAGAAAGTTTTTATTAAAAGAGTAGTTGAAAAAATATTATACAAAAAATTAAAAATATATTATATAAAAATTTGTTAAATTTTGTAATAAAGTATTATTAAAATTTTGTTAGAATATTTACTTTATTATATTTAATAAAAAATTAATATAAAAAAAGTTAATGAAAAAAGTTGTTACATAGGTCTAATGTACAAAAATTTATAGAAAAACTTTTTTAAAAAAACATGTGTGAAAAAAATATTACAGACTAAAAATTATATTAAAAAATTAAATACTCAACATGTTAATTTTATCATTTATTTATTATAATTTTGAAGTGTATAAATACTAAAATATCCTTATAAAATATTTTTTGAAAAAATAAACCAGAGTATTTAGTTAGAAAACCAATTTTATTTAAAATGTTTTTACTAAAAATTATTTATAAAAATATTATATAAAAATTAATAAATTTTAAAAATAAAATTTTATTAAATTATTATTATTATTTTATATTTGATAAAAAAATTTATCAATTGAATGAATCATGTTTCCGAACTTACCGTAAGAAACCTCCCTTCATTAAAAAGGCTCACCACCAGAACCGTCACCGGCATGGTTCCTGATGAAATGACATTCTACCCCCAAGCAACCCTCCAGGCTCCAGGAAACATTAACGCGTTATTTATAGTATTTCCTCCATTACCTGTTCCTTAGTTGGCTTCCATGGCCGCTCTTTCTCGGAAATCCCTCTTCCTCTCCCATCTCTCTATATATATGCCCAAGCATGTACCTTTAATCCCATCTTCCTCCCTTCGACATACCCAAATTTTAGAATTTCTGTCTCTGCAACAACTCTTCAGATGGCATCTTCTTCTCAGAACCCGTTGCAAAATTTCCATGATTTATTGCCCCTCATGGCAGGCAAGCTCGGCGGTGACGGCCTGGTCGGAGAGCTGTGCAATGGGTTCAACTTGCTGGTTGACGGCGAGAAGGGAGTCATCACTTTTGAAAGTCTAAAGAGGAACTCTGCTCTTCTGGGGTTGCAGGATTTGACCGATGATGACCTCCGTTGCATGTTGAAAGAAGGGGAT